TATATATTGCCAACTGCAAAATGGTTGCTGTTTTGCTTTTTAATGTCAAAAGCTAAAGCAATGGGAAGTATCTTTCTGAGAAGTTAAGAAAAAGAAATATTTTGAGCAGTGAGTAGGAGAACAAACAAGAGGAGGTCGGTCTACGCTTTTCTCATACAATCATACTAACAAATAATGAAATTCAAAGTTTGTGTTGCACATGTTTAGGAGAAAAGGGAAGTCAAGAAAACTAATCTATAAGAAAAAAGACAATAAGCTAGAATCAGGTGATTTAGGACCACTAGGTAAAAAACTTGGTTCGCCTACATGAGAAAACAGGAGTACAGTCTACAGATTTACAAAGAGAAAAGATGAGTTAGTTCATGTTTTATCCTACGGTTTGTCTATTTGCAGTTTTTCTGGTCTACTGGCTTATTTTAATATCATATTTTACATTATATAAGTAAAATAAAGATGCTTGAACCCACAGTCACATATACATTCATGTATTCAACAAATAATTAAGCTTATATGCCTACAAACTGGAAGCCCTAAATTATTAACAAAAGAAAAAAAGTAGTCTGACTTTTCAATTCACTGAGTCCCCCCCTTAAGAGTGAAAGTCCTAAAGACAATATGATATACAAAACTGAATATACATAAAGTTAAACAATAATGGGTATATGCTACATCTTTAAACCCCACCTAAGAAAGTTCAAATATTTATATGCGTACAAGCCTGCACAAGCCAGGCACAGTGGTGTACACCTGTAATCCCTGTGGCTTTGGGGGCTGATATAGTAGGAGCCCAAATTCAAGGCTAGCCTCAGCAATTTAACAAGGCCCTAAGCAACTGAGACCTTGTCTCAAAATAAAAAAGTAAAAAGGGTTGGAGATGACTCTCAGTGGTAAATTGCCCCTGAGTTAAATCCCCAGTACCAAAAAACAAAACAAAAGCCTCAAAAGTAATGAGAGTTTTTTGTTTTTGTTTTTTGGTACTGGGGATTGAACCCAGGAATGCCTAAACCATTGAGCCACATCCCCAGCCCTTTTTGTAATTTATTTATAGACAGTGTTTCTCACTGAGTTGCTTAGGGCCTGGATAAATTACTGAGGCTAGTTGAACTCGAGATCTTCCTGTCTCAGCCTAATGAGCCACTGGGATTACAGGCATGCACCACCATGACCAGCGTCATGAGTGTTTAATAGAGGTTCACAATGACAAAATTTTCTTAAGAAAAGAACATGGCTCTTTTTAGATTTTCATGACTTCTAAAATATTTTATCATAAATCATCTACAATAAGAGCATTCATTGTAAGGTATAAACCATGCAAATCCTATAATGAGTGAGTAGCCAGTATGTACCATTGTTGATAACTACATGGCTTAGTTATAATTTGACTTTTTATTCATGTTGTTTACATTTGACTTTAAGTTTTCCCTGGGCCAAACTCTCCTAAGTTTGATTGTTTTTCTCTACTTGAGACAGGGTCTGGCTAAATTGTCTAGGCTGACCTCAAACTCTCAATCCTCTTGCCTTAGCCTCCCAAGTAGCTGGCATTATAGGAAGTTTGTTGATTATATGCTTCATGATTTATACTAGGCAAAACACTCCTTCAAACTTAGCAATTACTCATAGGAGACTGCAAATTAATTATTCCAACTAGTCTTTTCTAATGAATATTAGACAAACAAGTAACACTTATTAAGCACCCAAATATGCATGGCACTCTGCAAAGTGAATTAAAACAGTTAATGGTCTCTATTTGAAATAATACTGTGACAATTGATTTCAAGGATTTGAGTTTTGTTTTGGGCATTTTTTGTTTAGTTTGTTTTTTTTTTTTTCTTTTTCAATTCCACTTGTAGATCAAGATCAAACTCAGGGTCTCACACATACTAGGTGAGCATTCACCACTGAGCTACAGCCCCAGCCCTCTTAATTTTGAAACACGATCTCATTAAGTTGCTGAGACTGGTCTCAAACATTTTTTATTAATTTTTTATTTGTTTTAATTAGTTATACATGACAGTAGAATGCATTTATGCACTTTGATATATCATACATGGATGGGAAGGTCTCAAACTTTTCATTCTCCTGCCTCGAAGCTTCCCAAATAGCTGGACTTATAGGTATCTATCACCATGCCCAGCCTAGCAAATTTTAAAAGTAGTTCTTATGCAAATTGTTACCGAAAACAGAAGAGAGCTGTGCACGCCTGAAATCCCAGTGCCTCAGGAGACTGAGACAGGAGAATCACAAGTTCAAAGCCAGCCTCAGCAAAAGTGAGGCACTAAGCAACTCATTGAGACCCTGTCTCTAAATAAAATATAAAATAGGGCTGGGGATGTGGCTCAATGGTCAAGTACCCATGAGATCGATCCCCAGTACCAAAAAAAAAAAAAGAAAGAAAGAAAAAAGAAAAAGAAAGAAAGAAAGAGAAGAGAAAGCCACACCTAGATTATTTGATGAGCCCAGTGTAATCTTGACTCTAAAATTAGATAAGAACAAGAAAATACAATTACAGTTACATTTCACTTATAAATATACAAAGCAAAGATCTTTAACTGAAGGCAAAACAAAGCAAAATGATGAGAAATGTGGAGAGGTGACCATCTGAGAATGCAAGAAGAGATCAACACCTGAGAATCCATCACTTTACAGCTATGTGAACAGGTTAGAGGAGAAAAAACAAGATGTCAAAGAATGCTGAAAGGACAAAACCAAAGAAACAGAAAAAGACTCCTTAATTTAATATACATACTAAAAAGCTCACAACAAACATTAAATTTCAAGTGGCAACTTCAGACACACCTCCTTCAGAGATTAGGAAGGAAACAGGGATGCACAGGAGGATCACCATTCCTCAACATAACACCAGGTCCTTGACCATAGCATAAGAAATGAAAAAGAAATACAATGACTAGAAAGAAGGAGGGCTGAGTTGACCCAGCTGAGGCCCCCACTAGACAAGCAGCTTCCAGCTGATGGACAGATCAACACATTTAAGAGGAACCAGTTCATATCAGCAGAACCACATGACCACAGAGGTCTAGGAGAAATAATAACTGGTTCTTCTTTCAAATTTTGATTTTGATGTTTTTGTTTTTTCGGGGGGGTGGGGGGAAGAGTGAGTACTAGGGATTGAATGAACATAGGGCACTTTACCAATATCTATATCCCACTCCTTTTTATTTATTTATTTATTTATTTTAGCTGTAGATGGACAAAATACCTTTATTTTTATTTATTTATTTTTATGTTGTGCTGAAGATCGAACCCAGTGCTTCATGCATGCAATGCAAGTGCTCCATCACTGAGCTACAGCCCTAGCCCTCCTTTTTATTTTTTAAATTTTATTTTGAGACAACCCTAAGTTGCTGAGGATAAATACTCTTAATGTGGATTGGAACATAATAAGGGGTATATACTAAAAATCTACAGCAAATATCATACTTCATGAAGAAAAAGTACGGCAGCTAGGTATAGTGGCACATGCCTGTAATCCCACAGGCTGAGGCAGGAGGATCTCAAATTCAAAGCCAGTCTCAGCAGTTTAGCACTGAAATTTAACAAATGCTTTTTGGATCTATTGACATTGTTACATGGGTTTTCTCCTTTACTCTAGTTACATGATTACATTAATAGACTTCCTAGTATCTGGCCATCCTTGCCTCCCTACTAATACATCTAGTCATTATGTTTTTAAATCAATGCTGGATTTCATTTGCTATTCTTTATTTTGAATATTTATAGCTGAGATAATACATGAGTTTAACCAGAAACGTTTGTGTACTGGAAATTTTAAGCTTAGGTTAGTCCCGCTTCACAAAATCAGTTTGGAAGTTTTCCGTCTTTTTACTACTTTTCTATGATAATTTGGATATAACAGGAATTATGTATACCCCTTAAAATATAAAGTACTAGAACTGGGTCTGATGGATTTTATTTAAATATATATATGAGCAGCATGCATATTTAAGATTTTTAAAAACGAGCAGCATAGATATGTAAGATTTTTTTAAATGAATCATTATTGATTTGTTCAGGTTTTCTATTTCTTCTTGAGTCTGCTATAATTTACATATTAAGATTATCTATTTCAGGGCTGGGGTTGTGGCCCAGAGGTAGATTGCTCGCCTAGTATGCGTGAGACACTGGGTTCCATCCTCAGACCACATAAAAATAAAGATACTGTGTGTCCACCTTTAACTAAAAAATATTAAAAAAAAAAAAAAAAAAAAAAGATTATCCGTTTCATGGGTTTTCAAATTCCTTGGCAGTAGTTTGTTCAGCATTCTTTTATAGTTTTTAAACTCTATTCTGTTGTTCATATTTTTTGTTCTCAGTGCTTATTTATCCTTTCTCTCTCTTTACAGAGGACTGTCCATTTTATTAATGTTCTGGTTTTATTAATAATCTATTATTTTGCCCAACACAGTTGTACACACCTAAAATCTAGCTACTCAGGAGGTTGAAATGAAGGACCACAAGTTCAAGGCCAGCCTGGCAACATAGCAGGCCCTTGTCTCAATTTTTTAGAAGGCTGGGGAGTTGTACGTGGTGATTCATGCCTGTAATCCCAGAAACTCTCGAGTCTGAGGCAGGACTTAGATCCTCAGCAACTTAGCAAAACTCTATCTCAAAATAAATAAATAAAGGATAGGATGTAGCTTAGTGGTCCCTGGGTTCAATCCTCAGTACCAAATGAGAGTGGAGGGGTGTGGGGAGGAGGGGTGGACTGAAGATGTAGTCCAGTGGTAGAGCATCCCTGGGGGTTCAATCCCCAGTACTGTAAAAACAAAATCTATTGTATTTTTACTTTCTATTTCATTAATTTTGATGTTTATTTTTATCTTTCTTCTACTTTATTTGGCTTTGTTATATTGGTCCTTTATTAATTTATTAACATCAAGATTTGAATATATGCTCATTATATCAATCTTATTTTCTAAGAAATACATTTAGAGCTACTCTATTACCCAGTGAATTCTGCTTAAGTCACATTCCAATTTTTTTTTAAGATGGACAACTTCATAAATTTATGGATCATCCTTATATACAAGGGCCATGCTTATCTTCTCTGTATTGTTCCAATTATAGTATATGAGCCACTGAGCAACATCCTCAGCACCTTTTTATTTTATTTTTTTTAAAGAGAATTTTTTTTTTAATATTTATTTTTTAGTTTTCGGCGAACACAACATCTTTGTATGTGGTGCTGAGGATCGAACCCGGGCCACACACATGCCAGGTGAGTGCACAACCGCTTGAGCCACATCCCCAGCCTTGGCACATTTTTAAATATCTTTATTTTATTTATTTATTTTTATGTGGTGCTGAGGATCAAACCCAGTGCCTCACACATGATAGGCAAGCGTTCTATCACTGAGACAAAACCCTAACCACTCAGACCCCCTTCCCCCCACCCCCTCAGCCCCTTTTTAAATTTAGAGACAGGTCTCACTGATTTGCTTGGGGTCTGGCTAAGTTGTTAAAGCTAGCTTTGAACTTGTATTCTCCTGCCTCAGCCTCCAGAGTGGCTGGAATTACAGAAGCATACCACCATGCCAAGCCCAGGTTTTAATATGCAATGCTTTCATTGTTATGTAGCTATTAAGTATTTTATAATTTTCATTTCCTCTTTGACCTGTTAACTGAGCTTTAGTTCCCAAAATCATAAAGTATTATGATTGTCTTTTCATTGTTTTCTAATTTTATTGTACCATCAAGACAATATATTCTGAACATTGTTGAAATTTCCCTGTAGCATAGCATATGGTTAAAAACTGGCCTTTGGATAAATTTTAAAATATCTGAGGTCTTACTTCTATAGTTTAGGTACAATATTCTATGTTACTTCAATTTATGAAGTTTGCCAGTCCTGTGGCTCAATTCTTTGATGCCATTTTAAATTCTGTGTCTAATTGACTTTTCAATTTTGAAATGTGTTCAAGTCCTACTATTTTGTAATTATGTCTGCTTCTCCTGGCAATTCTGAAATGGTGTTGTAAAGTCATGCTGTTAAATACATGTATGTTTATGATAATTATGCTTTCTGACTATTCTTTTTTCCCAGTTTGAAAACACTCTTTGACCTGATTAAAGATATCCACCCTAAATTCTATCTTATTTCTCTAGATCCTTTGATTAGAATTTTTCTAAATGTTTTTCCATTTTTTAAATTTAGTATTATCTGTTATGTGTTATCTGTTTCTACTTATTTGATTTACTTTTATGACTCTGTTATAAATATCACAGATTCATTCTAAGAACATCCTTGAAGGTTTTAATACAATTTCTGGCATGCTTTGGACTTATTTCAACTATCTTGATTTATAAATTCTATTTCCATCATTTTTTTCCTTTCCTTTGTTGCCTTGTGAAGTTGGGTCAAGTTTAATTCCCTAACCTAGTAGTTCCCTAACCTCTCAACCTGGTATTTTGAAGGTATGCCCCTTGCTACAGTCTGAGTGTTTAAAATACATCTTTCTCTTTTCACGTGTCACCTCCAGATGTTGTTTCACACAGCTCCTTTGCTATTCACATTACCTTAAGGGCCATCACAATCTGGTTCCACTGTACCTGTCCAGCTCACCTCTCAACCCTGCCTCTCCTACAAAGGACTGCTGGTTAAATTGCACTGCTCATCAGTCTCTAAATACAAAATTCCTGGCATTCTGTTCTGGTCCATGATGCTTTTCTCATTCACTCAACAAATAAATACTTTAATGAAAACCTACTGGGTTCCTGACTGAGAATTCCAGTCAACAAAGCAGATATGGTCTCTAACTTTATGGACCACAGTGTGTAAATATCAAGCACATAAATACAAATATAAATATCATGGTAAAACTTCATGAATTAATGAATTCAGATAAGGCAACTGGTATAGTTGCCCTTCTTTATCAGTGGGTTCTACATCCTCAGTTCAACCAACCACCAATTGAAAATATTGAGGAGGAGCACTTGTACTGAACAGAGACAAACTTTTTGCTTCCTTATTATTCCCTAAGCAACAGATAACCTGGGGCTGGGGTTGTGGCTCAGCAATAGAGCATTTGTCTAGCACGCATGAGGCACTGAGTTTGATCCTTAGCACCACATAAAAATAAAATAAAGTTTATTATGTTCACCTATAACTAAAATAAACATTAAAAAAAGATAACCTATTTATAGAGCACTTATGTTGTATTAGGTATTATAAGTAATCCAGAGATAATTTAAAGTACACAGTAGGATGTGCATAGATTATATGTAAATATTATGTCATTTTATATAAGGGGCTTCAGGATCTAAGAACTGGTATGGGGGGGTGGAGGGTAGATACTAAAACCAAACCACTACAGATAATAAGGGACAACTGTAATTGGCTCCCATTTTCTACACCATCTTCAAACAGCAGTCACATAAGGACATAACTACCACCAGGTGGCACCAAACCACAGTCAGACTTGGACAGACCTGAGAGAACTTAGTCTGAATCCTGAAACCTACTACCCCCATTCCACCCCCAATACACAGAAGAGACCTCCTTCTCTGCGCAGAATGACTCAGGTCATTTCATTAAATTCACAATAATGCCAGTTTTTATAAGAACTGAACTTTTTGAAGTGTATTTACTACTATATGTGGGTATCTAATATATTACAAGTTGTGGCAGGTGCTAACCAAAAAAACAAAAAAATGGGGCTATGATAAAAGTGATAGTTATCAGTTAAGGCCTGCCCCCAACCCCATTCAGAAGCTGACATTCAAACTAAGGATAACCAGGAGTTAGAAACTAAAAAATGAAATTTTTTCTGGAATGAAAATGGTATACGGGAAAGTCCAATGGAAGTTAAAAGTCTGGATTCATGGGTAGAGACAGCAGTAGAGGGAGGGAGGGACAGGATATAATTCATTAGTGTACAATGCTTGGGCCTGGGCTCTGAAGTCCTACTAGGCGCCTGAGTTTAAACCCCTGCTTCTACACCTGAAATAGCTGTTTAGCCTTGGAAACATTATCTGGCCTTAAGTTGTAGAGAGTGTGAAATGTGTTAATATGTACAGCCTTCAGGACTATTCCTGGCAAAAATACAAAAAAAAAAACCTTACATGTTAGGATATTGGTGGAGGATTTTTTGTTTGTTTGTTTTGTTTTTTTTTTTTGTTTTTGCTTTTGTTTCTGTTTTCTATTGCTGTTTCTAGTTAAATGAGAGAGGCCAAATTTTTCAGGTTCTTGATGACTGTGTTAAAAACTCCTGAATTTGTGCAATAAGAACAGGCTAAAGAATCATTATTCCACTTACAAATAAACTGGCATGATTTGGTAATGGCCTAAGAGAGGGAGGGGAAAATAAAACCAGAAAAGTCTTTGCTTCCCAAATGCATTTTATCAACCTCCCAAGCTCAGCTCAAATATGAAATTTCCATTAGAACAACTAACAGCTCTCTCCTTTCTCACTCTTACAACACTGATTTTATTAAACATTATGTAGAATTGTTTCCTTAGATATTTTCCGCACAAGAGAGCAAGCTCCTTTACAGCAGGGGCCCTATCTAATTTCTTTTCTAGTCCACACAAAACACAGTGCTATGCACATCATAAGCAGCCTCAAGTAGCCCCACTAATAGTCTCAGATCCAGGGCAGCTACTCAGAGTCTTTTCCTTCCTTTGACAAACACAAGAATTCAGCCTTTCTTTTCCTTCCAGCTATTCTGTGTTTCGGAATTGTTTTCCCGCAGACTAGCTGCAGAACTAACTAGAGTCTCTCATTAGCCTCCCCATTTCTTATGATCTCCAAAAACAAGTATATAGGAATTCTTTTTGTTAAAGCACCTGCTACTAATTACTAGAGAAACAGAAGACAACAAAATTGAACATAGGGTTATATGATATTACAATGGCATCTCCCTTTGTGAGACAGAAAGCTGAACGCACTGGCTCCTGCCTTTGCTTTTATTTCCAAGAAGATAGCTCACCAAAAATTCTGCCTTTTTTCATGGAGGCCTCTCTTCCCAGAACACTCAGGCCTGCAGATAAAGCCTAGGCAAAATCATTTGTGTTTCTTGCCTCTGTAGATGACTAGCACTCTTAAGAGTGTCACATAATGTTAGCAATGAATCAAAAGCAAATGTGACGCTGCCAACCTTGTTTTCCAAACCAGATGGCTGACACTTAGTGTTGTAAATCTAAATAGATACTAACTGTAGACCAAAGTCTATAAAGATAAAAAGAAAAAGCATAGTTTATTCAAGAAAGCAAATGTCTCAAAAAGAAATTACTACCTTTTAATTTTTCATCTCAAACTAGATCCTTAGTTTCTTCTTCAAAAGATTTTTTTTAATTCCAAGTAATTATTCTAAATCTTGACTTTATTTTCTGACAATTTGCATTTTAAAAATGTAATATGGAAAGAAAATAAGAATTCAGATCTTCCTAAAAGTTTTCTCAAACATAATGCACAGTATCTTTTTGCTATCTAAAGAATTAAATCTTTTCTTTTTGATGTAAAACATTCTAGAGTGATCTCTTGCAAACTCATCTAGTAACAAGAAAATCTCTCTAAAATGCTAACAAATAATCCTATTTTGTTTAAATATATTCCTTTTTTGGGGAGAAGGGGGGTAACTGAGGAATGAAGGCACTGGACCACTGAGCCACATCCCGAGCCCTATTTTTTTTTTAGAGACAAGATCTCACTGAGCTGCTTAGTGCCTCGTTGTGGCTGGCTTTGAACTCGTGATCCTCCTGCCTCAGCCTCCTGAGCACTGGGATTTCAGGCTGTTTGAATATATTCTTATTTTTATTCGAATATATTCTTAAATAAGTCCTGAAAAATAACTACATATTATCACCACCCAGTCTAAAATAAAACATATGAAAAGAATTTTAGTTAAAAATTTTTTTTAATTAATTACTTTTTCTTCTTAAGTAGTCTATGTATTTTAGCTGATTTACAAAGTAAAAAGAAGCAAAAAATTCCATTACAACCAAACACAACCTAAAACCTGGCGAATACAGAAGTTCTTTTATAATTTTTTAAAAAGTTCTATTTTACATAGAACATAATATTTGATAGTCTATCTTAATAGTATATAATGGAAGGAAAAGGAGATATATATATATATATTGGAGTGGGGGGTC